CCCCAAAACCCCAAAACCCCAAAACCCCTGATTAATAGGATATAGTTGAGGAAGGAATAGTTAAATAAAATGGAAAGTAAGATAAGTGATACTCTTCGGAATTATAGGAATTTGAAGAAAGAGACATTACTGAAAGATTTGGAAAAGAAAGTGGATGATGAGCTTTTATTATCATTGATAATCAAAGGAGTTTGGAAAGCCTTCTATCAACCACTAAATAGTGAAATATATTTCAGGACTTACAAAATAGAAGATAGTGCAATCATTGTATTTTATCATTCCAAGGAAATGGTGATGAGAGAATTAGTTTACGAGGAAGAAGATGAAACTTCATTCACTGGAGATTATGCTGTTGCAGGAATCCCATATCTCTCCTTTTCAAACTTATGCTTAGGGCATTTTCATTCCTTTGGGCCTAAGATGATTCGAAAAATATAGTGATCGGAGTTCTAGGAATAAAATTGAGTCTAAAGAGCAATCTTTATAGAGAACTGGCTTTCAAAATCCTGGGCAAGACTATTTCAAGTTTTACTTTCAATAATTTTGAAATGAATTATAAAAATGTGGCCAAGGTCTTGCTAGTTGGAAGACAATGCAATGAAATTTGATTCTTCATGTGAAGAATCAAATTCAATAAGCTCCCCATCAGCTTCTGGAGTTATAGATACGACCTTGACTCAAATGTCAAACTTCGTGTTTTGGAGTTTTTAAATTGTACTCCGCTTTATATGAGATTTGCAACAGAAACCTCAGATAAGTCCAGTATTGCACAAGTTGATAAGAATCTAAAACCAAAAGAAGAAATAAATTGTGTAATAGATACCAATGTCAACTCCTCTATAAATGAAATAGATTATACAGAAATGGTATCTGAGCTTATGAATCACATCTGCTGTTCACACCTCATGAAGAAGATTGAAATAGTGGCTTTCAAATTTGGATATAATAATATCGATCAAATAAAAATTGCCTCTCAGTTTAAACACTTAGATGTAAAATTTCAGGGTGAACTTTATGGAACGAAATTGGAGGTTACTTTAAAAAAATACTCAGACTAAATCCCCTCAACTCAAGTCAAACCTTCTAAAGCAAAGAACCAGCATCTTGTCATTTAAGAGGAAGTAATTCGAACATTTTCAACCAAAATTATATTTATTGGGGTTTTGGGGTTTTGGGGTTTTGGGG